GGATACTTGGTTATTTCCTCCTTTGGCTCTGCAAAAACTGCAGCTTTTCAGCTGGGACGTGATGAGAAATTTTGAGGCGCTGCTGGAGGCTCCTCCGGAAGGATGTGAATGTCCCCTCGCAGGGATTATCCCACTCCAAGGAGGATTTCCCACATCCCCTTCCCCTGGGAGTGCTGAGGGGATGGCTGGATGATGCTGTAGCCCAACACATGGAGCAGTGTTTGCTGGGATCAATGGGCTGAGTGGGCACATGTCCCTCTTACAGCTGGGCCTTTGCAGGCCTGGAGCCTGCGAGGCAAGTGATTGTTTGCATGAAGAATATTTCTTTAGGCTCTGAATAGTGATGCTCTCTCCTTCCTGCCCATGAAAGCATCTATTTTTTCCTGACCCTCCTTCTCAAAAGAGCAGTGGGCTTTGCAGCCAACTTCTGTTTTATTTTTAAATGCCTTCTGGAGGGTTATTACTGAAGAGACTTGCACATGAGTAGCTTGAGCCAAAAATCTAATGCCTGAATAAAGGGTGAGGAGTGAATCCCCTCAGGATTCCTTGATTAAAAACACTCAAGGGTGTGAACTCTAAGGGGCTAAGATATGGTGTGAAGGGGACTAGCCAGGCTGTGCTGGGGTTTTAAAGGGAATTGGGAGCCTTTTCAGAAAGGGCAGATCATTCTTCATTCAGACAGTCCTTGTAGGCACTAATGATCCCAGCTTTGGATGCTAACTGGAGCTGGGATGAGCAGCTTGGAATGTGGTGTTTATTTTGACAGGCTGGGATGTAAAACAGGCTGTGAAAGTGTCTTGTGGAAGCACTGCCTGGGCAGCTGAGTTTCTGGCACGTAGCTTTCTAGTCTCTGCTGGATGGTGGTGCATTCTCACTCAGGAATAGGGTTGAGTATTCAGGGCAGCTTTCTAAACTGAGAACTGACTGAGCAGAAGATGCTTTTAAGCTTGTGATCTTTCTCTGACCACAGCCAGGCTAGGAATGTATCCCAAAGTGGTCTGATCTAGCCTTAATTTTGTGCCAGAACTGAGTGTATAGCTGGGCTCATAAATCTGTTTTGATTAGTATCCCATTCTTCCCCAGAACTGCTGTGTTCTTTGTTCTCTCATTGCCCTGCAGACAGGTGGGATCCTCCAGGAAGGGTCTGTGCACAGATGAGGTGATGAACGGGGCACGAGCTGGAACGAGCTGTGCCCAGCTCAAGTTGGTGCCACGTCACTTGCTCACCAGGGATGTTAACATGTCTGACACTGCCAGTATCAGACCAGTACCTCCCAGTGTTGCACCTAAGAGGTGGGTTTTCATTGGGGCCTCAAGCTCTGAAGCCATCTAGTGACTGCAAGGACGCCAGCCCCCAGGGAACTATCTTTGTGGCATTAGTGAGAGTATTCCTGTGAGGACCAATTTCTTTCATCTTTCTTTCTAGTAACTTAACAAGCTAAATGGTCCTGTTAGCCTTGTCCTAAACCCTCCTGCATCCCAGCTTCCACGTTTGAGTGAGCCCAGAGGGTGAGGTGCTCCCTGTGGTGTGCTGTGCCCTCGTGCAAACTATTAGTGGTGCGTGTTGGGCTGTGCAGAAAGGCTGCCAGGGCAGATACAGCTCCACAGCAGCTGTGGCAAGGCTGATAAATGCTGCTGGGGTGTTCTCAAAGTGACTAAGCAATATAAAAACATTATCTGAAAAACTGTGCCCTTAACTTGCGAGGTGTTTCGCCCTTTCTGTCAGTGCTGTCACTGGAGCTTCAGCCCAGTTTAGTGTTTAGGAAGTTAAGTGCTGCAATGTGTGGCTGAGCTCTCATCTGTAAAAACCACCTGGGGCTTTCTGTAGTCAGACACCTTGCAAATGGCATGTGAAACTGGGGAAATGACTGTACAAAGTTTTCCTCAGCCAGATCTTTACTCGTGTGGTTTCTAGGGTGAGCTCCTTCACAGTGGCCTCAGAAGAGGGAAGTAGGAGCCTTGTTTATGTTTGCATCAGAACCCATCCCCCCCTGCCTGAAGAACTAAGTGCTTTATAAGAAATGAAATGGTCAAAATGTTGTTCTAGTTAATGGTTGGGAGCTTTAGATTCCAGTAAAGCTGAAGGTATCACAGTGTGTGAGTTTGGGCTGGTGCCTCCGTGTGTTGCATCTGACCCGACATAAGGACATTTGGTCATTGACCAGCTGCTTCCTTGGTGGCAGCTTGGTTAGGATGGGCTGTCTTGCTTTCCGCAAAGTGTTCCTCGCTGCCCAAGGCACCAAATTATAATTTTCATGAGCACAAAGTTATTTGGAGTTTGGTCCAACTGGTCAAATGTTATTTGCCTCCCCACGTTCCATGGCAGCTTGGTTAGGATGGGCTGTCTTGCTTAGGATAGATACCCTTTGCTTTCAGCAAAGTGTTCCTAGCTGCCCAAGGCACCAAATTATAATTTTAATGACCACAAAGTTATTTGGAGTTTGATCCAACTGGTCAAATGGTATTTGCCTCTCCACATTCCGTCCTGCTCAGCACTGATTATTGGAACAGCAGCTTCCTCCCTGTGGTGCTGCACCTTGCTGTGCCAACCCTCTGCTGCTGTCCAGGCAAGTGATTCTCTTGTGCAGCTGCTTATCTTGAAGGAGCTTCTCACTCTGGAGGGGTGTAGCCATATTTGCTTCCTCTTCTTCTGTCGTAGTGTTGCTAGAATACACGGCTGTGTAACCAGGCTGAAAAAATTCCTAGTTCTGTCCAGAAGTGTGGGGTGCTGAGTCCAAAGCCACGTGCCTTGCAGAGCTATGGAGCTGGCTGCAGGCTCCAGGCAGTGTTTGGGAGAACCATCCAAGCATCCTGCTCTTCTGGCTCTGGAGTCATCACCATGTCAGAGAGCAGACTGCTCAGCTTCTGGGCTCACTGCCCTTTCTCCCGGCTCTGGACAAAACGAGCCCCACATCCCCAAACTTCTGGCATTTCTTCCAGTCTGTAGATCTGAAGCCTTTCTTACAGCACTGCAGGGATGCCCAAACCCTGTCAGTCCTGTGCTCAGCCCTTGCTGTTTCAGACCCTGCATCACAAATGGGATGACACTGGAGCAGGGTGGGTGTAACAGACTGTCCCACTGAGTCACTCGTGTGTGGCATCGCAGGGTAGGAGGTTGCAGTGTCTTGAGCTGGGACATGTGACAAGCCAGCGAGCTGATTACTACAGCCCTCATCCATGTCTAGCTGACTATTAATCCTTTTAGTCCTATAAAGGCTAAATATATCTAGACTTTAAATCTAACCTTGAATCTCATGCTTAATCCTGCCAGCAGCCTCACGTTACAGGCTTCAGGGTGTATCTGGGAGCGAAATCCACAAATAAATGATCAAGGTTCCTGGCTTCACCTTGAGGACAACAGGCATAATGCTGAACAAGCCATGAAGATGCTTCTGTTGAGGTCTTCACCAAGAGCTGTTGCAAAGCTGGGAAGTGACTTCGGTCAGCTTTATGAAATTAGTATCATTCTCAAGGGCCTCTCCTCTGGTGGAAAAGCAGAAAGTAAAGGCAGGACAGGCCAGAGGACTTAGTAAAGACTTGTTAAAAATCATAACATGAATCAGCTGGAATAGGTTCTAGGGGGAAGCTGGAGGTTGCAGCCTTTGCCCTGGAAGGGACCATGAGCCACTAGTTGCATTAGCAACACCAAATCCCTCAGGATACTGAGACTTTTCCAGTGAATAGCAATTAAGCTGTTAACTCTCTAGCATATTCAGGAGAGTCAAATGCAGTGCTGCTTTTTTAGGATTTTGAAATTACACTTTCCCCCTCTTCCCCCTCCCACCTCAGTCTCATTAGCTCTGCAGCTTGCTATTTTAATTATGGCAAGAGAAGACAGAACAGCTCATCTGCAGTAATGCCTGTGGTCCCTGCAAAAGGGACTGCACAGTTTATTGGAGGCTGTTGGGTCCTTTATTCAGGATGTGAATTCACTGTGGCTGTTGGGCCAGTTACCTGTGGCCAGTGATAGCCAGCCCATGCTGAAAGCTGTGCAGCTGCTGACAGCCCACATTAGCTGTGCAGCTGGCTAGCAGCTCTAGCCAGATGATTTAGTTTTAAGACCTGCTCCTCTTGCACTGCAGGGGGCTGCTCCCCAGGCTGGTTTTCCTTGAGCAGGATGAGGGCTCTGATGGGCAGGGTCTCCTGGCCCTGCCTGGGAGGGGGCTGCCCCTGGTGGGGCTGCCCTTGGCCCTCTGCCACCCCCTGGGCAGTGCCTTGCTGTGGGTTTCCTTCAAAGAACTGTTTGCAGTGAGTAAAACTAAGCTTGTTAATCTGTCCCCTGTGTTTTTTTTTCCCCTGGCATGATCTTCCCTCTACACCTTGGAGCTCTCCTGCCTGTCCTGAAGCTGCATGCAAACCAGGGCTCTGCTCCCAGCCCTGGGAACTGCAGAGTGAACTGCTGGTCCCTCTGCTGCCAGGATTGCAGGTCCCTCTGCTGCGCAGGGATCTGCCCCTCGCTCTGTGGTTTTGGTGGCCAAAGTGCTGGGCTTTGTGCTGCTCTCCTTGCTCAGCTGTAGCCTTCTGCATAACAGCAGATTGGATGGTGCTCTCCATCTGCCAAATGCTGAGTCTGTTGTGCTGCTTTTCCTAGAGCAAGAGTGAATATTCTGGAGCTGATTCCACTGCAGGAAAGCTATCCAGGAAAGATTCTCCATTGCTAAAGCAGGAGCACAGACTTACATTGACATGGCTCTTTAAGCAAGATGAATTCAGGGTTTGTAGTGTCTTAGGTGGTTTGAATGCCTCTTCCCTCCTCCTCTTAGAGTTTTGTCTTGGGTAAAGCTCTCAAAATGGAAGAGAAATGGAAGAGAGAGGCAATAAATGCTAGCTCTAAATGTAATGATTGGGGCTCAACCTTTAAGCTCCTGCTGGTGTCTTAATTCCAGTTTCTAATCTGGATGAAAATGTAAAGGCCTCAGTCCCAGTTCACTCGGTGCAGTTTCTCAGTTGCTCAAGGCAGCTCCAGCTGAGCTGGTGGTGTGAAACACTCGTGTCTCTTTGCAGGGCCACGATGGGCATCCTGGAATATCGGTGTGTTCATCTGTATTCGTTGTGCTGGGATCCACAGGAACCTGGGAGTTCATATATCCAGGGTGAAATCTGTCAACCTCGACCAGTGGACACAAGAGCAGATACAGGTAACATGGGTGACATTTGGGCAGGGTTATTCTAGGGGGCACTTCATAAACCTGGAAGTAAACAGTCTGAATAGGCCAAAAATGTGGGGGTGAAGCCTGAGGAGTGGCTTTCAGGGCTTCAGAAGTCTACATATGCCTTCTAGTTAAGACAGATAGACCTTTGCTTGGTGGGCTGGTATGTGTGAGAGCTTTAATGTCTGTGAAACAAGCAGTTCAAGGGTTCCTTTGCCTTGCAGTGCATGCAGGAGATGGGGAACGGCAAAGCGAATCGTCTGTATGAAGCCTACCTGCCAGAGAACTTCAGGAGACCTCAGACAGATCAGCATCCTTGCTTCCTTGGCTGCTGAGGAGACCTGGGGCCTTTTCATCGTGTCTCTCTGTGTAGCTGCACTCCCTGCCCAGGAGGTTTAACTCCATGTCCCTGGGCATCAGCTGGGAGGATGAGTTCCTAGTGAGGCACCCTCAGCTGTGCTTCACCCCCAGGCTGCTTCCTTGCAGAGGGAGGCACAGGAGAGCTGGAAGGATTTCTTCTGGGCTATGAGGGTGGAGAACTGGAACACCCAAGGTTACAAGCTGAAGCTGTTGTGTGAGATCCACTTCAGGGTCTGTGGCAAATGGGAGGGTTGACTTTCAAAAGTGCTGAGCATCTAAAAGTCTCAGTGAAGACCGATAAGACCTAACACTATCTGAGAAATTGAGCTGTAACTTTTACATTGCAGGAGGGTTTCTAAATGCCCAGTGTAACAGGGGTACAGTGATGGGAACCCAAAGGAACACAGGAGCACCTCTCTACCATCATTTTTTTTGTCTTAAGCTGCTGGCTGAGGTGCTTTAGTATGTGCAAAGTCCATTTCTCTGGCCACTGTGTGACTTGGGCTAATGACATGGATGCTCTTAAGTGATGGTTGGAGTAAATATACATCAGTGAAGAAAATATGCCAGGAATTTAAGCCCTGATTTCATGTACCTTTTATAGCACCATCATGCTTGGAATAACCCACAGGCAAAAACTGAGTAGCTAAAGTAGTTGGACCCAACACTAAATTATTTTAAGCACGTTACTGCTGGATATGCTCTTTAAACAGTCATTAGTTTAGTTACAGCCTGTACCTTGTATCCACATGTCAAATAATGCTATGTAAGTCTTCTATTCTTGAAGCATTTCTTTAACAAGCTGCTTGCAGAGCTGTGGAGAGTTTCATCCGGGATAAATATGAGAAGAAGAAGTACATGGACCGAAGTATTGACATCAATGCCTTTAGGGTTAGTTCCCAATCCCTTCTACAGAAGCTTGAATACATGTGAAGCTCTGTGTGTCTGTCTTATGAGTAAGCTGTGACTCTGAAAATAGGCAGTTTAAATGTTTCCTCTATTGGTGACTAAGCCCTTCCCTGAGGCTGGTTGCACTGTCATTCTGCAGAAAGAATCTGAATTGGAGGAGATCTTTGAAGGCTTTCTTGTCCAACTCCTTGCTCAGAGCAGGACCAGCTTCAAATATGGGCCTTTAGCTGTTTCTTTGAGGCTTTTTAGATTGGTAACAGCATCATGCAGGGCTCTGTAGGAACTCCCTTGGCATGATGACCTGGGTTTTTGACCCTCATGTCAGTGTGTTTTTCCTTTCAGAAAGAAAAGGATGACAAGTGGAAGAGGAGTAATGAGCCAGTGTCAGAAAGAAAACTGGAACCCATCATCTTTGAGAAGGTGAAAATGGTAAGATCAAAAGGCATGGTTGTGGATCAGTTGTAAAGGCTTCTCTGGAGCAGAGCAGAGGTAATCCAGCTTGATATGGAAGCATTTTTTCTGGCCTCAGTCATAGCAGTGGATGCATTGGGTCACACTGATGGTAGTAACTTGTTTTCCTCTGCTCAGGCAGACACTAAGCAGAGCTGCTCTGCCCTGCGCTGCAGAGCACATCGGAATCCACCCACCCCCACTCCCCTTGCCAGCTTCAGCAGTTACTTTTTCCTAGCTTAGCAGATACATATTTGACAGTGGGTTATGGCCACTGATGTCCAGGGACAAATAGGGATTTTAAGAGTTAATCTCTCATTAAAGCCTCCAAAGAGTAAAACCAGCATTTGCACAAGACCTGTGGTGTTTTCTTTCCCCAGCCTCAAAAGAAAGAAGAAACGCAGCAGTCAAGAAAAAGTTCTCCTAAATCTACTGAACCAGTAATGGACTTGCTGGGACTTGGTAAGAGCCTTCTCAGGCTTGTTGCAGTGCCCACACACACCATCTTTGGTCTGGTGAATTTCAGCCTTTAGTGCTTATTTTCCATGTCAGGTGAGCAAGAGCTGATCGGTGGAGTAGAGAGCTTTGCTTCGGCTCCTCCAGTGCCACTCAAGCACAGTGCTCAGCCTGCAGCAGAAGTAGTTTTCTTTGTTTTCTTCTCTGGTTGTGCCTGTAGTATTGCAGGAGAAGCTGTAGTGGTCTCCAGAGCCAGTGTGGCTCCTGGCTGCTCTGAGGTTAATAGGACAGATCCAGCACAATGCACTTCCTTACTGAGCCAGTTCCTTCTGGGCACCAGAAGGATGAGTGAAGAGCTGGCAAGATGTGTTGGCTGAAGCAAGTTCCAGGTCGGGTCACTGGGTTGTGTGACATATGTGCAAACTGCTTAATTGGCAGGAGGCTGCCCCCTCAGCCTGCAGCCATCTGCCCAAGCACCCATCCCAGCTCTGTCTCTCCAGATGCTCCCCTGACAACCACGGTGGCAAACGGCAGGCCCAGCAGCCTGGAGAAGGATCTTGATCTCTTTGCATCAGTGGGATCAAACTCTGACTCCAGGAAGGTGAGTAGGGAGCATCAGTGCTTGGCAAAGCCTGGTTCCATGTGGGAATGAGGTGAGGACCTGTGACTTCCCCCAGTGCTGAAAGCAGCTGCTGCACTTGTATTCTCTCTCTCAGGTCACTGGCTCTATGCCAACAGCTGGATGTGCTGGGTCTGTTCCTGAAAACCTGAATCTCTTCCCTGAGCCAGGAGGCAAAGGGGAGGAAGTGGGGAAGAAGCAGCTCTCAAAAGACTCCATCCTCTCCTTGTATGGCTCCCAAACACCTCAGCTGCCTGCACAAGGTAACAGAGCTCAGAATAGAGCTATACACTAATCCAGAGTGGGTGGGATGTCCTGACAGCTGACAAGCAAAGATGTGGGACAAAAATGTTCTTGAAAACTGGGAAGTAGCATCATGAGCAGCTTAGTCTCAATGTCACAGCCAAGTGAGTGTTGTGATAGTCTGTGATTTGAAGGTCAACACTTCAGCCCTTGGCAGTGAACACAGCAGTTCTTCCCTTCATCATTCTCTGCTTTCTTCCCAGGAGCAATGTTCATGGCCCCAGCTCAGATGGCATATCCTGCAGCAGCATATCCTGGCTTCCCTGGCGTGGCCCCTTCCAGCAGCATGATGGGAGGCATGATGGCACCCTCGGTGGGAATGATGGCCCAGCCTGGAGCTGCAGGGATGGTGACTCCCATGGCCATTCCAGCAGGATATGTGGGTAACGTGCAGGCAGCTGTCATCGGTGTCCCCAACGGGCTGCTGGCTGCCCAGCAGGCTGGCTATGTGGCTGGCATGGCAGCAGTTCCC